TATATATATATATATATATATATATATATATATATGCACGTTCAAATGAAAACCGTGCAATTCTTAGAAACCGTGTAAACTAATTTCAATCAATAAGAAAATTCCTTTTTTTTCTAATTAAATTTAATCAATAAAGGTATATTGGTCATTTGCATTGTTTTCTATTAAATATGTAAGTTATTAATAAATCTTAATTAAGTTAATATAATAAAAGAAATTTTATAAATGGTAACATTTAAATATTTAATTAAATTATAATATTAAAAATTAGATTTTCTTATATTGTGTCTCGGTTTATTATTGTCAAGATTCATGAAAATCGTAGGTTATTAGACTAATAAATCCATGAAATCAGTAATATAATATAAAAAATTCATGAAACCGATTTCATACATAGTGAAATTGGTGCATGTAGTAAGTGAAAATGATGATGAAATAGGTGCAACATGAAATGAGTGCATGATGATATGAATGCGTGAAGCAAGTGAAACCATTTCAAAAAAGATAAGAAAAGCCTGTGTAATTAGCGAAAAGTGAAGCAATTTCATTATCAATAGCATGAAATGACAAATGACTCATCAAACCATGCTAGCCGATGAAATGGGTGATTGAAGAAAGTGAAACCATTTTATGGTTTCTAAGAAAATTTTGTGTAATTAGTGAACAATGAAACAATTTTATTATCAAAATGAAACGGATCCATCTACCAGTAACATGAAAATGACAAATGTCTCATCTAGCATTACGTTGATTTATGTATTGATGAAACTGTGAAACCATTTCGTTCATGAATTGTAGTAATTTTTTTTATTCAAAATGTTTCATTATGTTAAATTGATTATAGTGTGTTTTATTTTTATTGTTGATCTATTTTAATGATGGATGTAATTTTATTTATAATATTTGAACATAAAATTAATATATTATTTTACAAATGATTTTGTTTCATTAATATTACGATATATATGATATGGTTGCCATTAATAAAATCACTACCAAAGTTACAATTTTGCCCTTATAGGGATTATAATTTTTTTTTTATTTCCTAATATAATCTAAACTAATTTTGACCATTGATCAAGAAAATGAATGAATAAGATTGGTTTACATGGTTTACACAAATGATTTAATCTCTTTCTCTCTCTCTCTCTTTCTCTATATATATATATATATATATATATATATATATATATAGAAAGAGAGAGGATAAGATCTTTTGTTAACCAATTAAAATGTATTAAATTTACAAACCTCAATAAACCAATAAAAAACAAGAAACACTTTCGATTGATGCATATGAAAATTTATTAAACGAGGATAAAAATTTAATTTTTTATTTGATCTTTCTTTTAATGCACATTAATTTTTGGTTACATTTCTTAATTATCTCATGTCTTGTCATTGTGAATATTTCACGTAAATTAATTGTCGGCTACATTTCTTAATTATTTCAAGTAATTAATTATCGGTTACATTTTTGAAGTATATCTGAGTAAACACTTGCTTATAGGTGTTCACAAACGAAACACTTTGATCATATATTATTATGTTCACATGTTAAATCTAATTAATTTTATATACACATCAGAAAATTAATTTTGGTCGTGGTCATCATCCTAACATGACATTAATTAATTAGTTGGGAATATTTTTATTAACCTTCATATATATAGCAGGTTACATTATTATCGATATTATACAAAGAACACATACAATACAAACTTGCATGCATATACACATACATATTAGTACATAACTTACCTCCTTTTATCCGGCTTCGATTATGTTGGTTTCCGATCATCATCCGATTGTTGTCGTCTGAACATTTACAGCCACCCACTCTTTGTTGGTTCCATCATCAACAGGTTTTACAGCTCCATCATGCTGAATAAAGTGTCGTTTTTTATCATTCTTATTTGATATATCTTTCATCTTTTTGAAGTGGGCTTGTTTAGAAAGTTCTTCGACGGCCTCATGAATTGTTTCAACACATTTTATGATGTTGACTAGTATCGAAGTGGTTGTGATAACTGGTATGGTTTCTACAATGTCCCACTTCTCTACCCTTGAAGCTTCTAATGTCGTATTGAGTTCGTCTACTGCTTTTTTACAGTTTTCCATATGAATAGCTGCTGTTGAAGGATAAACCATTAGTTTCATAGACAACCCTAATTCTTTCAGAGTTTTTCCAGCTTCCAAACTCATTTTCATACATGGTTCTTGAACTATTTTCTGAAACTCTGAGGGTGCCTGTAAGGAAATATGAACTAATTAGTAAGCATGATAATTTATATGATTTTTTATTGAATTTGCACATATATATATATATATATACACACACACACACACATCTAAATTTTATTGAAAGTATATTATACATAATATAAGTTCGTACTTCAAAATTTTCGTTGAGATATCCATTAAGAGCTTCAATATGGTATGCACAGTATCGTGTAAGAACACCAATCTTCAAGTATTGTTTCCATGGATGTCGGAATCGAAATTTTCCATGCCGTACTTCCCACCATGCAAAATTTGCCTGCTTTCCAAACATTGTTCATCAAAAATCGATATCGTGTGTGTGTATATATATATATACATACATATAGGAACATTAGAAACATGTGTAAATAATTGACTTTAATTTGTAGATGAATCTCAAAAAACCAAATTATAAAAAAAAGAAAAGAAAACATGTATACTAACTAAGGATTCTTCAGTGGCTTTAGAATTAAGGACACTTTTATAAGCTGCAAGAAATGATTTGTCACCCTCAGAAATTCTGTAGTATTCTCTCCCAAATCCTATAAAATTAGTATGTGTTAGTATATATGCATTTAATAGCTCATTACAGAAATTTAAAAAAATTATGTATATATATTGTAAATGTACCTTCTAGGAAGCTTGCAAGGTTTTCCAAGTTAAGAACGATGAGTTTATGAAGATCTTCACCAGCCCACACCGGGTAAACACATATGGAGATGATTATACAGGTTGCAGCACCAAAAATAATGGTTGATAATCGGTGGTGCGCCAAGTGAATGAGTTTTTCTACTCGATAACCCGATACAGATACGAGACTAAATGTCAATATGAATATCAGAACCCCATAATCGTACCTCCTCTTAATGTTGGGAAAGAATCTTGAAAAGGTGGCCGCACCAACTGTACATGGTATGAGTTTCAAAACTCAAAATCAACATTAACTATGTATAAATTAATAGGTTATATTGTATGAAAGGACACGTACGTTAATTAAACCAATTAAACCTCAAGGGTACGATTTAACCTGAAAGGAAGACCAGGAAAGCGAGAACAATGGGTTTAACAGTCTGTCCGAATAGGCTAGCAAAGGATTCAGCCCCCACACCTAATGCACCGGCTGCTAAAGTTGCAAAACCTCTATTCATGCATTTGCTTAAAGTTTGTCCTAGTGAAAAATGAAATGATAATTAACATTAATTCAATGACAATTAGATTAAATACAGAAATATTACATATATGCATGAAAACTTTAATTGCAAAATCTGTCATATATGGATATATAATTATTATTGTATGTATGTGTGTGTATCACATTGAATTATATATATAATTAGGGTTTGATCATGGAAAAGTTGTTCACCGGCGGTGTACTCAAAAACTACAACGACGGTCAAGATAGCCCACATTCCGGCATCACCCATGCCGTTATACAAGGGCTGAAGATAGTAAACCATGGAGACCAATGTGATGGCTGATGCCACCTTCAACGAGTGTACAATCCTTCTCGGATCATCTTCCCCGATCTTCTTAATTGTCATGGCGAATTCATGTATGGCATGTTTGATGTTTGAAGCAGAGGGTTTAAGTTGACTGAAAAAGGTGGTAGGGTTTTGATGGGGTGATGATGGTGAAGAAGCAATCTCCATGGCCATGGCTACGTAATTGAAGCCTCGAGATATTGTAGGAGATGAGAGATGGCTTATCAAGTGAGATAAGGTTAGGCTGATATATACATGAGGTTCCCCTTATCAACGAACATACAAAATATAAAATGGTGTCATTTGGTATGTCAAAATAAGAATTACACTGCAATGAAAATTACATACACAATTTTAAAATATACAACAATTAATTCGTTAAACAAGAACGAAAGTGAGGTTGAAGATTTGTAGGGGGGTACGTGGCGTTTCAGGGTAATGACGTGGGCTATGGAAAAGAACAAAATACATATACTTGTCATTTTCTGTCTGTATGTAGTTCGGGTTTCTTGGATCCGGTGATTGATTAGTTATTAATGTGATGCATTCGAGGTGTAACTCAGAATAATAATTTCTATTTATTAATCTCTTCGTTCTTTATTTACTTTTTAATAGTTTTATTAAAAGATATTATTTAAATTGTTAAGAGTTGAATCTTATTTGTAAAAAGAAAAAATCCGTCTCATAATGGTTTTAAAATCCTATAAATGATTTTGTATCTTAGACCTTTCTTAACCATTCAAGACCATAATTTTATTTTGAATAATTATCAAACAATTATATTTTATTTTACACTATATTATAAGAATCTTTTAACCATTCTGATCATTTAATTATTTTATATCAAACTACAACTCCTTGTTAAAACTATAAGATGAATCCACATGCAACTTTCAATACAGAAGACATTTTATTAGCATAAATTAAATTATCAAGTATTTCTTAGATTATTATTTACATCAAAATGCAATCATGTTTATGATTTTTATGCATGTCTTTAATATTTTATGAACCAATGTGTCTTAATATAATTAATTTATTTTAGTATGAAAAAAAATCATCAATATATGTTCAGATCATATAAGTGTAAGGAGAAAGATTTAGGATTTGAGTAAAAAGTAACCGAAATTTTGAAGTTGTTCTTGTATCTATACTTTAAGGTGGTAAACATGTTTAATATTTAAATTGTTGATGTTGTATATATTATGAAGTTCGACGTGGAAGAATCCGATCTCACAACGTTGATTTAGTATGTGTATGTTTTAGGTCACAACCCTAGAAAAGTCGGTGTCACAAGCTGATATTAGAGATACTGTTAGCATTTTCGGGAATGATTCTAAGGGATCGTTTACGAAACATTTACCGCCTTACGCTTATCGGCAAGAGTCATAACTCTCACTTACCTTATAAGGTAACAATCTCTGCAATCCAAAATTGATTGATAGTAAACGTTTATGCCGGTAAGAGATTACTGAGTAAGAGTCATTACTCTTACTTCTCTGTAAAACTATTGATTCTTGTTATAGGGTAAGTTTTTCTGTCCTTGTTATGTTCATTCAGAAGATGATTGAACCGAAAAATGCTTAACAAGGTAAGTCATGTTTGGTAAACGGCCATAAATAGTATGTATGTTGTAAGTTTACAAGTCTTGTACATAATAAGTAATGCATGAATATGGTATCATTTATTTAATTTCCTATGAAATAGGAAAATATTAAATTTGGATGACGATTGGATGGACATATCATATCTAGGGAATAATTAACTGAGAACTGTAACACCTTCATTTTTATTGTTAGTGGTGGTCATGTCATTGTCTTTAAATAACAATAAGTAACTCAAATAATAACGGTTAATAAAGTCGTGTTACAGCGTAAGACTTGCAAAATATAAATGCAAATAATAATCCAATGCTAAACCATCTCATATCGGGCAACGTATGTTACAAAATCTATTCAAACATAAAGTATATCCATCCCAAATCTGATATTTAGTAAAGATATAAGTCATTGAGCATGACCTTTGCTCTTGTCCACCCTAAAACTTTGTGCCTCTGCTCTTGGCCTTTTCTTATCTTCTTCCCGCCCTAGGAGTAGGAGTAGGAGTAGTTCAAAAAGAAGGACAAAATCCTAGCAGAAGCAGAAAAGCCAATTACGCTTTTGAGAAGGACTAAGTAGTTGGAAGTGGTGCATATTGTGGTTGTTTCGGTACTTCTGTAAACCCGATTTCATTCTCTGAACAATCGGAGAAGGCAAAGGAGGCAGAGAAAGCGAACTTTTTGCTAAGCGGGCTCATAGTCCAAGTCTCTTGGTCGGGTTGTCTATTGGTAAAGGTAACATTTTTGAGATTGCAGTGTGATTTGGGGATCTTTTGTTTGCTGCCCCGCTTGGCTAAAAGTAAGCCAAAAAAAGAGCTCAATGCATATTAATAATCAGCTTCATAAAACTTAATGAGTTCATGGTTTTCGTGCATAAATCATACATGTCCCCTCATGCATAATAACAAACAAAATACTCAAATAATATGCAAATATGCTTCAAAAAAACCTTTTTGAAATATTTACAAAACATCATAAACTGTCTGATCGGATAAAGGTCATACTTTCATAGGCATTCCTTAGGTTATACGGTTCAACCTTGTCCAATCACCCATCCCTATGATATGCCTTCCCTTTGACATATCAGCCCAAATCTCATACCCAATTGAGCCCATTTTAAAATTTTAACCCATTTATAAAATGTTAAATAATGTCTGAAAATCAGTAAACAAATAGCATGCAAACCACGTAATAAAAGTATATACGTGCATTAAACGTCCAGTGTACGTAAAAATAATATATTGCATAATATACATGTCCCAAATAATTCTCATGCTCAAAACATTTATGCATAAGCATGCATCCCAGTAAAAATCTCATGAAAACTCACATGTACGTGTACGCCAATTAAAGTCAACACCTTACCAATAACCTGCAATTTAATGCCATAACATTTAATAAATGGTATAATTCCCAAAAGTCAACTATTGATCGACCTTGGTCAACCTCAAAGTATTAACTCTAGAATATCGTATAACGTCTAATTAATCTTTATATTTAGACAACCTCATCGTCACAACTAATAACGTCTTGAGTAATTCGAATATCCTAAAAGACATTACTAAAAATGATTATTAAATCTTTTAATAATCCCCTCTCTAAAAAATAATCAATCAAATAATTTTCATTATCTAAAATAAATTAATAAACCAACTAAATAACCTAATTAATAATTGAATCCCTAACTAATAAACACCCAATTAATATTATTAAAACCCAACAAAAATTCTTGAACCCAAACTATTTATCTCAGTCAAAAAGAATATGATTAAACCCAATCAAATTAAATCATCAAATCACATGGACCAATCTGTAATATGTCTCTTATTATTGAGCCCATAATGTGTAAGTCCAATATTGAGCCCAAAACATATCCCTCAGAGTGCGTCCAGCCCAAAGCCATCGCCACTTGCAAGAAAATTAGGAATAAAAATCCCCTTGTAGTTATGGAGGTTCAAATGCGGTGACTCCGGGCTATATGCAAAGCAGGTGGTCGCTCTGGGATTAGTCGGCTCGTATAACGGGTTGGATATCCAAGTTAATAAAAAAACGTAAATTTCACTCTTTCAACGTTTTTCTCCGTTTTCCTTCACTTAAACATTTTTCCAGGTGTGTTTGTGATTGCTTATTTAAAGTGTTTGTTAACTTATTACGATGTGGTATCGATAACATGAAGTTTTTAATATTTGGATGGAAAAAAAAATATATATATACTTATACCGGTTTGGCACCGGTAATAAGAATTTTTTGATAAGTTACTTACTTCTAGTTTATTAACTTATTCCGATTTGGTACCAATAATAAGGAGTTTTTAGTGTTCGGAGGAGAAAAAAATGATATCTCATCTATTTTAACAACTTACCCGGTGTTGTACCACCATAAGATAATTCAAACACTTTTTATAAAATTCCGATTTACCATCACATAAGTTGATAAACACTTTTATAAAAAGAAAATCATAAGTTGTTTTAAATACTCAATCCCAAACACCACCTCAATGATTCTTTTTGCAAAATTTCACCATTGCAATACTTCTCAACTCTAATAACAAGAATCATGAATTTTCAAGGATTATATCCTCCCAATTTCGAGTTTTAATTAAATCATTCAACTTCATACATACATACATACATACATACATACATACATACATACATACATACATACATACATACATATATATATATATATATATACATACATACATATACATGGTTGGGTTCACGTGAGACCAAGGGTTTTTCGTGAGACCCGTGAGATCAATTTATGTTCATTGATCAATTTTATAAATTAATGATCTAATGGTCTAAAGTTATACGGTGGCAATTTTGTGATTATTGAGAAGTCTCGTGGTAATTTTGTGATTATGAATGTTCAGATTGTAGATCTAATCCAAAGGTTGAGAATTGGTCTTACGGGTCTCACGAAATACCATTGGTCTCACATGATATATATATATATATATATATATATAGGGGCATAATCAAATGAGAACTGATTAGTTTGTGGTAACTGTGAGAACCAATGTGAGCCACTCATTTAAATAATTAATATTATATCCTAAAATAACATAAAGGGTAAATTGGTAATGTTTATAATTCTAAAACCCTACTCTTCTTCTTCATTATGAAACAGCCGTCCTCCAGCATAGGCATGCTTCTCTTCCTTTCTTTCCCCCTTCTCACGCACAACCACCACCACACCATCATTCATCATCACATGGAAAATCAATTAAACCAGGTACCAGAGTTTTTATATAAATGGGAGAATGATCATCATTGACGATGCGTTGAATAAGAGGTTATGATCCTTGTAAGTGACCATTAGAATCTTCGACTTGAAAGTTTCTCGATCGGTGGGTCCGTCGAGATTGTAAAGCTTGAGATACTCAGTTTTATCGTTCCGGCTTAGTATCGCCGCCAAAACATTCGCCTGAACGGTGTCAGCGCTGCTCGTCATCTTCTCGATGAACTCAAGCGCCTTCGCATCTTTTTCGAACGCCGGCAAATCCACAAAAGATCTACGATCATCAGTCGCCATGATGATGACGGTAGATTAGCACAGGTGTCGCCGGAGATGTAAACCAGATCTCGTCGGAGATGTAACTCCGAAGATGTGCCACTCCTTTTCTGTGGTATACAGTGGTACCTCAATGGTATCACAATATATCACAATGGGTATCACATTGTGTATCTTTGTGATTACTTGGTACCTGCCGGATTTTTGTTCACCGGAGGCCGGAGATTGGAGGT